GCAGCAACGTCACCATCGTAGTGGGCTCGGATGAATCAGTACCTTTTTGGCATCGGGGGACTCAGGCTTGTTGACCTTGGCGTATGTCCTCCTCATGGCGCGACGGCTAGTTGCGACTCGGGGCTGGTTGCGCAATGGCACGGAGCAAAGGGGTTTGCAATCACGCGACGCGGGCCGCCCTTGACAACATGGTGGCGTGTGAAAGTGTGATGGTCTGGGAATGAGGGGATTGTTGGCCTATGCTTGGTCGTACAATGCCGCAAACTCGATGTTAAGGATGGCCCACAAGCGCCATCAACCGTCGACAAATCGTAGGGTGGGGAGGGAAAGGTGGGCGGACATGCAGCGCCGATGATGAAGCTTCTGGAAATTTTTGAGTGCAGCACGCCCATAGCTCTGCTTTCCGAGGATGAACCGTGACGACGCACAGTGCAATTGGCTCCGTGTCAGGGGATCTGCACGGTATCACGGCGAGCTCAGCAATGAGGTCATCTTCCGCCTCCGAAGGAGAGCCCACTCACTTTCATTGGAATGGTTCTGCTTAGTCAAATCTTCAACTCCAACTCACGTGTTGGGCTTTTCGCTCGTTCGCTCGCTTTCGTCTCCACTCTTGAAGCCATCGCCTCCCGAGTCGGCTCCGCGCAGTGCATTCTTTCCAAATCCCATCCCACGCCTGATACCGACCCTCGACACTTGCACCTACCTATTGACAACTTGCTCTGCTGGCAGAACCTTCGAAATATCGGCACAAACTTCTACCCCAAAAACACACACCTGACAACGACATGGCTGTTGCGGCTGCCTCATGCTGAAGGGTGGTCCCTGTCTGTTGAACGCTTTCAGTGTCGCCATGGGACCACCCTCCGCGAACTACTACGTCCCTCGAGACTTTCTACGACTTACTACCGCCTAAGACGGACGATATCCTGTATCTCCTGGAAATCGAACACAACGACCATCTACTTTGAGCACCTTGACACTTTCTGACGAAGTCTCTGTCGTCTTTCGCCACTGGAGTCAACCGACCCCTCGACATCTTTCGACGGGTGCTTGTGACTCTGCTACGAATACGGTCTCGAGTTTTTGTAACTCGGTAAATTTTCCATCATGGTTCGCCGCACAAAGGGTTCTCGAGCCCTCGGTTCGGCTCTTCAGCCGCGACCAATGCCCGCCGGTCGGAAGACACGGCGCGCCTCGGAAGCCGAGCAGGCCAATGATGCCGACAGCTTGACCCTGGACGGCTTGTCTCTGGGTTCGTCAAAGGCAAAGCGCCCTGACCCGTTCCCCTTCATGTCCCTGCCCGGCGAGCTGCGACTCAAGGTGTACGCCTACCACTTTGCGGATGCCGGCAAGGTTATGGACCTCGATCCCGACAACCACAAGCGGCTTCACAGGAAACTGGCCTTGTTCAAGACTTGCCGCACCATTTACTCTGAAGCATCGCATTACTACTACAGCAGCCGAACCTTTCGCCTCTTCCCGACGTTTCCTGGCCGCTTCCTCAAGACCAAGAAGCCGCTTCTGGCCCGTCTCACTCCCTCGAAGCGAGCATGTCTCACCTCTCTCGAGATGCGCCTCGGTCCTGGATGGAACGCCCCGCCCCGTGGCTGGGTTGTGAACCCGGCCCTGGGGCTCAAAGACTGTATCAACGTCCGGCGGCTGACGGTCTTTGTCGAATGCGACCCAAGTGACAGCGTCTTCACGGGCTTTCGACGGTCTGAGGGGTTCTACGAGCTCTTCTGCCAAAAGCTCCTCGGCGAGGTACTGGCCGAGTTACCGGCGCTGGAATACGTCGACTTTGACGGCTGGTCGAGCGTCAAGAAATCGGGAGAAATGATGAAGGGGCTCATGGAAGTCGCCATCATCAATGACCGCGGTCTACGGTGGGGTCCCGAGCGCGGATGGACCGACGCCGAGGAGAAGGAGGAAGTCCGCAAACCCATCTGGACTGTGCCGTCAGTTTCCAGTGTCTCATTTGGAATTCAACAGGGCGTTATGGTTACGGCGTAACTGGGATCGGGATCAGGGCTGGGATTGGGCTACACCGCGGGTTTTTTCTCCCGTTTAGACGACGTCTCTCTTTTTGGGTCTCTCAACCTATACTCTCTAGAGGACTTGTTCCGAGGCCGGCATGCTGACTCTATGGAGATGATAAAGCGGCCAGAAACACACAATAAGCTCACTGCGAAGGAACCACGAATAAAATTGCATGAATCATGAGCAAATAAGCCCGCTTCTTCTCCCAGCGTTGCCGTAATTGTCTTAATGATGTCTGATCGACTCATCTGAGTGCGTATACAGTGCAGGAAAGCAAACTAAGACGCTTGGTGCACTGTTTGATGAACCCCACTATACTATGGTAAGTACAGCGTATCGAAGCCTAAACAAAAATTCCCCCATCCCAGTGCACCAGGACTTTCAGACGTTCGACGACAAGACCTACCAGCCTCCCATCAACACCCAGCCTTGCAATTGGTGCGTCCGAAAAGGCCCCTGCGATACTCAATAAACCCCGGACCGCTACACGACACCACAATGCCTCTCGACACCTCGACGTACGGGCTCTCCCTCCTCCGGGTCGACGGCCGGCGGTGGAACGAGCTTCGACGGCTGCAGGCCCAGATCCGCACGCAGGACGCCGCCGACGGCTCGAGCTACCTCGAAATCGGCCACACCAAGGTCATGTGTGTCGTCACGGGCCCGACCGAGCCGCAGCGCCGCGGGCCCGCGGGTGGGCAATCGAAGGACGCCGCCGTCAACGTGAGCATTGTCGTTGCGGGCTTCAGCTCGGTCGACAGGAGGAAGTACGGCCGGAATGACAAGTATGACTCCCTCGCGCATTCTGTCCGAAAAGGGACGTGTCGCAGAATGCAATGGGGGCGGGCCATCTGACTGACTTGTGGCAGGCGCATCTCCGAACTCGAGGCCACCGTTTCCAAGGCCTTTGCGTCGACGCTGCACACGCACCTCTTCCCGCACAGCTCCATCTACATCTCCCTGCACGTACTCTCGCAAGATGGCTCGCTGCTCGCAGCGCTGCTCAACGCGACGACGCTGGCGCTCGTCGATGCGGGGCATTCCCCATGACCGACTACATCGCCGCGTGCACGGCTGGGTTCGACGAGCACGTACGCGGCAGCCGACGAGGGGGCGGACCCACTGCTTGGACCTGAACACGCAGGAGGAGCAGGAGCTGCCCTTTCTTGACGGCGGCGACCTTGGGGGGACAGCGACAAGGTTGTGGTTGCTCGGTATGTGAGAGCAGGGTACAGGCAAAGCCGACTG